CCCCCTCCTTACCTTACCTCCCCTTTCCTTCCCTTTCCACGTTGGCCCGAACCCCCCTCCTCCCCTAACCCTATTTCCCTCTCTTTACTACACCTGACATTTCGTGTAAACATTTGATTTGAAGGCCTCTGTTCCTTCTAATCTCATCACCAAGTTTGCTGCCGCCGGGCCCCCCCGGGCCTGTGGGACCTGCTGGGGCCTCCTCCCCGTCCTCCCCGTGTACCCTTATTCACCCGGGGCGCGCCGGCCCGGGTGGCGGGCGCACTGCAATGGGGTCCTAGAGAGCCTGCTCTACACTGGAGAATGTACTGAACACGTTATTAACAAGTCGTGTTCCGCAGAAGTGCTACTTTAAAATAAGTCTATTAGAAGAGATTTTTAACCCAGTTTATTGTAATAAAAAGAACAGCACTATAGTTAGTTGTTTTCGTCGTAAAGTTCGAAGTGTTTCCTTTGCAGTATCCGTAAGTAGGTGCTGGAGATAATAAAGAAGTGATACAGTGGAGTACCACCTGATAATCTGCTGCAGGCGAGGCTGCAGGTCAGAACGATAACAAAGCCGTTGCCAATCTGCTGAGCGCCCGATTGCCGAGCCGCGCGGTCGCTGGGCGGACGCTGAGCGGACGTTGGGTGGACGCTGAGAGAACGAGGATCCCGCGGCTGAGAGCGAGGGCTCTGTGGTGGGCTCTCGGAGCGAGCTCATCGGAGCCTCTGGCTTGTGCAAACAGCCCTGTGCTGTTGAGTGGGGAGGGCCAGCGGTAAAGGGCACACAACACTCTCATTTCGACCGACTAACTTTTTATTCATCATTCATCATATGGTAACAGACAGGGTTTGACAGGTTTCTACGTCACCCACAAAAAACACAACAAGTCAAGGCGCCTGAACTCGGCATAATAGCACCACCACAACTAACGAACAACAACAGCGATTCATACCTGTCGATGTAGGGAACATTTTTAGTTAGAAAGGGGCCGACGCGGACCGGGGGAGGGTGGGGTGTTTTGCGAACACAGCAACAGTGCTATGTTTTTAATGTGTGCGGGGATTCGGTTAGTCTGGTACCTCCGCATTTTGAGTGGAAAGTGGTGATGAAGAAGGGGGGGGGGGTAATTTAAGGAGACGAAACGGTGAATTCAGACAAGGGGTTGAGAAGGCGAAGGAGTCTACGCTTCGCGCAGCGGGAAGCTGCGGGAGTCAGGCAACCAGCCTCACCAGCCTGTCACGTTTCCAAGTCGGACTGACAAGTTCCCAGAACTTCCCCCGCAAAGACACTGTCAAAGCGCCTGTCATGGATTTCTTTTCTACCAGCAACAGCGACGGCCCAGTATTGGAGCGAACATGATTAGGCGTCTTCCGTCGCTGAAACACAAGGATCCGGCTCAATCTGAACAAAAACTGTTGGCGACAGTCGTTGTCTTATTGCTGAGGTTTTGGTCACTTTGAAACGGGTTCCCTCGGGACCACGTTGCTATTGAGCGTATTGTTTAAAATTAGATAAACGTAGGGTTAACAATACTTAGGTATTAGGGGCGTCAGAAAACATGAACCCAAACAACCGCATTTTTTCAATAAATATCTCTACGTACTACATTGACATTTTGGTAATACAATAACTTACGGTACAGATAACTGCGCTCAGCGCTTTAACATAATATTATAGGTGTATAATAGCTATACCAGTCTCGTCGACAATTGCTCGAAAAACAGATAACAGATAACAAAATAACGACATCCACCACGTTAGTTGGGGGTACGGGGGAGGTGGATCTACTCACTGCTAACGGAATCGGGAACACAAGTTCGCCACTAGGCTTTGATCCCGTAGTATTGATTGGTCAGTCTTTGCACTGTGCTACTTTCCGGTCGGTGTGCTGCTACTTCCGGTGAGGAAAGGGAGGGCACTGCAGGGTGGGCCGGGTAAGGCCCGGGTAGGGGTGGGCGGACTGGCTCGGGGGCTGCTCCCAGGGGTGCAAACAAAACTGTGCTCTCAATTTTCGAATTTTTGGAGGAAACTTCTTAATACTTTGCTCCACTAGGTTTCCCCCTTTCTCGTGCCGCCGATAACATCTCACGACACACACAAGAGAATTGAAACTCGACAACACAGTTGAATGGGCACACCGTCCAGGAGCACCAGGGTGGGCGCAGGGCGCGGGGCGTCCGGGGGCGCAGGTTAGGGTCTGTGGAGCCCCCGTCGCCCCCGCGACCGGGCGCCACCCTAGACTAACCCCTCCGAGTTGAGCCAGTCCGTACTGGGCTACACGGGCGTCGTCCTCCGCGGCTGCGGCTCCCACACCATCTCCCGGTGCACGTGCGCGTGGCCCTGGCCGTGGAGGCCCTGGCCGTGGCCGCGCCCGTGGCCGCCCCAGGTGTTGTAGCGCATGGCCGCGGGGGGCGCGGCGAGCGGCCCGGGCGCTAGCTCCAGCTCGGCGCCGGACACGAGCGCCAGCTGCGCCACCGTCGCCGACCAGTCCTCACCGGACACGAGCGGGTCCACGGAGGCGTCCCTCTTGAGCGGTAGCGACGAGCAGGAAGCCCGCAGCATCCGCTGCGAGGGCGCGGGGCTGGGCCGGGGGCTGGGCCGCGGGCTGGGCCTGGGGCTGGGCTGCGGTGGGCGGCCGGGCGCGAGGTCGCCGTACGCGCTGATGGGGCTGTGGTACTGGAAGCGCTCCAGGCTGTGGTAGCCGCTCTGCGCGCCCTGCTCCCGCTGCCGCCGCTCGCCGTGCTCCCGCTCGCCGCGCTCACGCACGCTCCCGCGCACGTGGTTGAGCAGCGGCGGCGGCGCGGCCGTGCCGAGCTGCGGCGGCGGCACGTACGCGGGGCCGTTGGGCAGCACGCCGTCCAGGTCGCGCCAGGCCAGCGCGTCCGGGTGGCGCGGGCACGGCGACCGGCCTGCAACAAGTGCGCGACGGGGAGGTCGTTACTCACCGTGACGACCACCATCACCATGACAACAACAACGACGACGACAACAACAAACGGAACTTACAAGTCTTCGTGTCCAGCAGGAGGCGGTCCTTGACGTGGTGCAGCGCGAGCAGCACGGCGGCCGCCCCGGCCAGCAGCGAGGCGGCCAGCGACCCCAGCAGCAGCGCGACCCCCGGGCCGTAGGCGAGGCTGAGCCGCGGGGGCTGGCCAGGCGGCGGCGGCGGCACCAGCTCGCCCGCCTCCGCGCGCAGCGTGGTCACGTACACCACCAGCCCCACCAGCAGCACGAGCGCTGCGCAGCACAAACGGACCTCGTCACCACCACCCGCACCACCGCGCACCACCCTCTGGTCCTGGTAATCGCACCCCTCATCGTAGAGGTCGAGGGATATACTTCACTCTAAATTTTCTTTGTCTTTTCTTAATTTTTCTTCTTTTTCATTGTATGGTTTTCAAATATTTATTCTCATTTTTATTTCGACCATTTTTTTAAAAAAAATTGTTTAATGTTGTACACTGATTTTATTTTGCGTGAAGTACCCCTCGGTAGGGTTACACTCACGGATACTCACAGGTGAGCACAAAGAGCACCCCGGACGCGAAGATGAGCAGTCGGTCCCGGCCGCGCACCGTACCGGCGAGCCAGCAGCCCTCCGCCAGCAGCATCAGCAGGAGCGACGTCACGAAGAAGGACGCGGCGTGCGTGGCGGCGTCTGGATCGGAACAGAGAGGAAGAAAGCTTTATAAAGGTATACCGTCAGTGCGGCGTTTACCACGGGACGGGCGCGACAGCGCGGCGCGCTGCAGTGCGTCAGACTCGTTAATGTAGAATTCCCCTTGGGGGCGCGGCGGCGCCGGCGGAGCGCTGATTGGGCGTGATGAAGCCCGAGGGGATGCAGGGTAGGGGTGGGGGGGGGCTGCTGCCGGGCCTCCCGGGCTGCAGCCAGCATGCACAGAGGCTGACCTGGGGCTAACCTAAAAACCAATACGGAACTGGGATAAAAACAAAACAAACGTTACAAACAATGCCAAACGCCAGGCCAGGCGCCCGATCTGCGCTGTAGACAGCGAAGAGGGGGAGGGGAGGGGGGATTCGTCTTGTGGTAGAGTAAGTCTTGGGGTTAGTCTGAAAAAAAAATGGCCAGAACCAAGGTCAAACTTTCGAAACAATAAACAAAAATATGCTACTTTTAAAGTGACGCTGGTCTCTTATTATCGGGCGTTCCAGCACTGATGTCACACGACGGCATGGAATCCAAATTTCCTCCAATAATGTTATTTTCCAACGCCGGAGGCCCGTTTCCTCCTCGGGCAGGCTGACTTGCCCGGCCGTTGGCAGCCGCGGGGAGCGCCTGGGAGGTAGGCAACGCGAGCGCCCCGGTGCGCTCGGTGCGATGTGCTGCCTACCTCGCGGGCGCTCTCCGCTCCGCTCTCGGTTGCGCGCTGCTCCACTCCCGCACTCTCAAAGGCCTTTCCAGGATAACACCTCGCAGCCAATCCACACAGCACTGAACGAAAATTGGATTAGCCCCCTCTCCCCCCA